TGGACTGGAACAGAGGAGGTACTTACCGTAGCAACTATGTTCTTGTATAACCTATTTGCTTCCCCATCGCATCCATGAAATTTTAGTGGATCAAACCAGTGTTGACCTCGAGTAGCTTTCGCAAAATTCCAGCTGGTTACTTGCCGTTTCCCGCTATGGATTGCAACCACGCTATCCCACGCCTCAGCACGTGTAGAACATGCAGCTATGTGGACCACGTCAGGTAGCAACCACGGTGATCTCTGTTGACGAGTAGTTTTCCGGCGATCCGGAACTCCAGGAGCATATGCGCAACCGAGGCTTTTATTCATATTTTCGTTGAACGTTGAAAATATACTGTTTAATAATCAAGAACAATCATTATCTTGTGTACAGCTACGATTATTGCGATAAAAGATATTACAATTGTTGTTGCTCAAATAAAATGAAACACAACTCAATAAAAGCACGGAAGTTTGTGTACTAGACAGTGAACCATAACTCCTAATTAACGACAAGTGGAAATAATTGACTCAAAACTTAGTAGATGCAGTAGGTTTTATGGATATTACCATTACTAATATTCTTAATTCTTAAGAAAAATAGTACACTGAATACACCAATCAAAAACATAAGGAAATACACGTTAAATTTTGGTTCACTGAACAGCTATCTGTGAACAAGTAGACATTAAGGCGGAGTCTTAATTAACAATAATACCTCGTGAAAAGCAGTCTCTAATGACACCATAAGAAGGTGGATTTACAAGGGAATAAGCCATTGCTTTTCTTATCGTGTGAAATCTGAGTGATTGTGTAGTAAATAGGGGTATTCAAGTTTTAAAATATGCTAACAACGACCTGCCAGGATATATAAACGGTACACGTCAAACATCCTGATACTTTACATCGCTTAATTACTGAATATATGAAAATTAAGTGTGAGTACTTATTCTGGGGAGTATTCCACCCACTTAGTTCATCAAAAACAAGTAAACACTCAAAAGCAAGGTGTCAAATGACCGTGAATCACTTCAATTAGTGCTAAAAGACAATGCACGTTTAGTGAAACAATTCATATCTTTTAGGAACAAATTTATTTACATTCTGATAGTATAATTAGAAGACAAAGATAACTTGAAAAATGAAGGGTATTTGAACTATACACTTTGAGCAATCATGTTAGTCATAAACTTGTCAAATAATCTATACGGGAAAACTAACGAAGGTCAATTAAACAAAAGTTCAACAAATATACATCGATAATTGGAAATAAAGTGAAAAAATTATACATGAAAAGAGTAAGGAACAGCAACACCACTATGGACATTAAAATGTATTAAAGACTTGTTTTAACTGGTTTCGTATCGAGGAACATAGTTCAGTGTCTCGTGTTTAGTAGGGGATTCAATGCCAACTGATCAAGAAGCGATCTAGAAAAATGTCCCATCATCCTTGATCGCATTGTTCAATTATTCCTCCTAACGTGCCCCCAAATGCCCTGGTACGGCCGAGAGTGGGGATAGTCCTCTCTCCCTCTCGAAATACTCTCACATGGCCATGCGTATACAGCCTCTGCCAGGCAAGTCCTACTCACTGCCTTCTCGTGGTGGGGATGTTATATACGAAAATGAGAGGACGAGAAGCGAATGTCCAGCGCTTTAACCGGATCCCAAATAAATGGGGCACATGGGCTCCAGTATCCTGCGGGAACAAATGGCGTATGAACCAATTTCTTGATCACCGGCTATCATGGGACTGCATCTCCTCACGATGCTCCACTGCCTTGTGGGTTAGACGTTCAGGTCGAAGGCTCGGAGTGTGGCCCCCTAAGAAAACCACCTGCTTCGGTCTGGGCCCTCACACATATCAAATGAGATCTGTGTGGCGCATATGTATTTGGTGCCTCCTTGTACAAATGCCTATGTGTTAAAAATAAATCAATAAATAAACCTCCTAACGTATGTATCCACATACACATATGTGAATTGGCAAATACATTGGTGTGATACAACCATTTATGGAATGTTTGGCCCCAAGTGGAATCTCATGGACTATTTCTTTTCGATGGCCGTCAATTTTGTGGCATAACGTTTTTTAATGGTTGTTTTTTTACCTCTGCTAGTAAATTATGTTGTTTAATACTCTTTTATAAGGTAATATATCCTGAACCCTTTTCTTCGAAACAGAATTAAGGAGTTTCGATGTCGAATGGCTTTTACACTTTACGCTGAATTAAATTTTAATTTCAGTTTAATATTAATGCATCAGTCATTAGTTTCGCATCCTCTTTAATCACATCTGTATTGCAGATTCGTTAAATTCCGTTGACAAGGCAGCTTATCAAACCTTGCTTGTACTACAACGGACATAAACTGTGGAGGTTTAGAAATTAACATGTCTAGGCGAGCTTCCTATAAACTAACTGCTTAATGGTTCTATCATTCCTGTAACTCAAGTGTATGTCTAGAAAGTGTAATTGGTTGTTATTTTTTTGTGACAAAGTTGCGCTATGTCATTTTGTACGTTATTAAACCACGTAATAACAAAACTATGTTGAATTTCTTATCGCATATATCCAAGATAATAACTCCGTACCTCCTGTACTAAGTTACCTCACTGATGTACTCTTTCGTCTATTTTCAGCATGTGGCATAAATTTTGATCAAGGGAGGTTTTTAAAGAATTATCCATAATATCGTCAACTTGAAAAAAATGGTTACTTTCAAACTCGAAATAAGTTTTGTCAGTATATAATAAAACATTTTCAACAGAGCAAGAACAACAAGGTTTGTAGAATAAAATGAATTCATTAGTTTATTTTACGGTTTCTTATCAGCTGCATACAACCTAAAATTACAACCATTAATATAATTGTACAACACCAAGTGTTCGTTACACTACTCAAAGGTAGATCAATACTCTTCAGACCTCACTTCCAATTGCATCTATGAATTTACATATACCTGTGGCAGTAATTGCATAGGAAGGACAAAGAGAAGGGCCTGTACAAGGTTTCCTGAACACATTCCTCAAAACCTACGGTTGAAAGGAAATAAAGTCTTTACAAGTGAAATTGCTAGACAACTTTTAGATAGTGGACAAGAGATAAATGTAAGTAATGCATTTAGAATAATTAACAAACAAAAAAATATCAATCTTACTGCTTTTAGCGAAGGTAATTAATATCAAACGTTTCCGATATAACCTATGTATACAGAAGGAAAGTGTGGTTAGACCTTTCCTACCGCGGTGATTGGGGTTTCACCTAACATCCTTTATTAATTTTAACTTTTAAACTTTCTACTAACCCTGTCCACAACCTTTTGTCTTTGATTTTATTTCTTCTGATATTCATCTCTTACATAATCTTAACGATTTTCTGATACTATATTCTTATACACAATCTTTCTTTTATAATATTACTGCCATTGAAATAACTACTATGAATTTGGTGTTCATCTTGTTGTGTTAATGAGGTATGGCAACTTTTACCGATGCATGTATGCGCCTGGTTCTACGTTGTGATTGACTGACTAGCTGACTAGTGATGTTTGTGTACGCCAATTTTACCATGTTGAGAGATTACCCAATCACTCATTAATTTCATTATCTTTACATAACCTTTGAACTATTACCTTCCAGTATATAAATGCACATCGATCTTAACTATGTTTATTTACACACTTTGTATTCTTTTTCCTTTTTTTAATCATGATTTTGGTTACGTTTCGAACATTTACCTAGCGTTCACAAACTAAAGTATGCTAAACATTTGTTAATAATTATTTTAATAATTGTGATTTAGGTGGTATACAGCTGATAAGAGACCGGGAAATAGACTGATGAATTCATTTTATTCTACAAACTTGTTGTTCTTGCTCTGTTTAAATTTATCAAGGGATCTGGCTATATGAAAAATTTTCAGTTGTGTTGGCCGGAAAGGAAAGAGGAAAATTACTAGATATGTAGTCACAAAGGATGTTTATAGTTTTGACCAAAGGTATGTTAGTAAATAAAGTTTGTATTAAAAGTGTGTACAAATTCTTCCTTAATATTGTTGCTGTTGAAAAGACGATTAGTCTAAGCATACCTTTAAAAGATAACTTACATGAGTCTTGATAATCATTTTGTCAATTCATGTGTAGGTGAATCTTAAGTACAGTGTTGATTTTAATGGATCATTGGTTTGTGAACTTTAGACAATCCGTAAAAATTAGGGAGTTCAGACCCAATAAGTTGTATAACATTGAATCCCTAGTTGCTAACGACATTTATGTTAAGTATAACAAGACTGAGCTTAAACCTGATTACTAACTTTCTAACATCATTTCACGGAACGTTCACAATAAACTCCCTTTGATCAAAAAATGAGTAATATTTTTTTTCTTTTCAATCACCTTTGTTCATAACAGCTATAACTAATCTTTAA